ACTTGATGTTCAGAGCTAAAAACACTTTGTGATAGCCAGCACGGCCGGCTTCATTGCTGCAAGTCATAAGCAGAATTCACAATGTTCTTAAATGTGTCAAAATGGATTGTAAAGGCCGAGACTACGCAGGAGAAAAAGCTGCAGCAGTGTTTGAGTCACCACATGGCTGCATTTCCTGCCACAAGACAACACACCGGGGGTGAGAGCTTCTGTTTCTGGAGGAAGTGGCACAGTGCAGATTAAACTCAGTTTGGACCGGCCCTGCCATGTTTGTGTATGTGACCTTCCGCTGGGGCCACATTTGCTCGGGGGCCGCAGGTTTTCTTGGACAGGAAAGTTATTTCTGGATTTCATGGGTTGGCAGTGATGTCACGAGTGTTTCCTCATCCTCCGAGCTCGGGTCAAGTTTAACCCCAGTGATTCTCCTGAGTCTTTCCTGTTGTTCTGAGAGAGGTGGAAGAGGTGTGGAGCCAACTGGAGAGGCGGGGGTGGGGGGGGGCGGGGGCGGTGTCTGTCGCATCCCTCCCCTTCATACAATGGCACTTCTCTGGATGACAGATGCTGTTTAACCCGCCCTGACCCGGGGAGTTGTGATGGCTCAGCTGACTGACAGGCTCATGGAGGACACACAGAGGCTCTGCACCACACTGCCCCAACTGCACAGGATGACGACCTCCCCCCCCCCCCAACAAGGGAAGGAACTGTCTCTTTGGGCAACCCCCACAGTAATATATGTCTATAGGAGGAAAAGCTTAACACCATGAATTAAGAGTAGAGAGGGGCATCCACTTCTGCTATCTTGTCCTATTGAGTAAAATATTGAGACAAATTGAGTGCTAAATCACTGCAGAGAAGTGTGGTATTGTGACAGTGCTTGAAAGCCTGTAGACTGTCCATTGTCATGACGTCGCCTGAGCTGCAGCTCTGAGCTGCATTTATCATCACTGGGGACTCAGGGGGAAAGAGACCATGCCATCGGTTTGTCATACTTAACTTGTCTGTCTCCATTTGAGAGGACTGTAGACAGAGCTAGCAGGAACTGTATCACAGGGGTATTAGTATTACAGTCGGATAGAACAATATCTTGATTTTTTTTTTTTTCTGCTGTTGAACTGCAGAATACTTGTTTCTAGTGCTGTTAATGGGATTTTGTGATACACCAGTCCTTTTATCGGTTGAGAAGTGAACATGAATTGTGCTATTTCTAAGGGGCTTCACAGAGCAGTGATGGCAGACACAGCTGAAACAGTTTGATATGCACACACTTTTGTGTTTGTCTCTAATGATGCTGCATCGAGCTGGCTCTCAGATATGGAGGCGGTCCTCCAGCAAGGTGATACTGAGACAGTGTGATCTTTTTTAGCAACACACCACACAAGCAACAGCAGCCTTCAGAACGTCTCAGCAACTCAACATGCTTCTCCTTCCCTCTCTAGAAGACAGGTACTTTACACCATGTCTCCTTCAAAACACAATCACTGTCTATCCCTGCCTCCTCGCTCAGAGCTGCTGTCCTCTCAGCTGCAAGAAGTGCATATCCACACCTCCAAAGTTCCAAATATACACACTTCCCAGCACCTTTCAGTGCCTTGTCCTGACCTGTTTCCAGCCTCACCCTTGACATACAGCCTTCCCCTCAAGCTGCAGGGCTGGGTATATTGTTTGCCTCTGTAAGCCAGCAGTTGTGGCACACAGAGCTGCTTATTTCTTTACACACAGCTTAGCTAAAATTACCATCTCATGGAGGCTACTCCATGCATTAGCTGAAACACCCACAACACGAAAATGAAGTGTACAATACCTGACTATATCTGCAGATCTAATTTTTATCGGGAAAAATCATACACATACATCATAGTATTCTTTCCCATTTACCTCAACCAGAAGAAAAGGAAACTAATGCTGGTTCCCAGAGGCTTCCCTTAAAATAACAGGACTGATTTAGTGGGGTTGAAAAATCATTTTTTTTTTTTTTTTTCAAAATAAAACTGTACTGCTTTAGTGAAAATTTATATTTTTACTATCTTTGATAAAGGATTAGCAGTAAATTATTCGATATGTATAATGTAAATATATATTAAGTATATAAACCACAGTGTAATTTGTTGCTTTATACTTATATTTGCATTTAAATTTAGTCTTTACAGTATATACTAGTTCAGAGCTATAACCTCGTATTATGTAAAACTATTTTCTGAAAGCTTCAGCATCAAAGTGGCCAATTATCCGCCACTCTCACTGACGCCAGCCGCTAGGTGGCACTGTGTCTGTTTGGTAAAAGTCCTCTTGGTTCTCCCCCCTCCCATCCCTCCACCCCACCTAAAGGTACAGAGCTGTCTGACAGCAAATTCTCTAAATGCCCACTGTCCACAATGTCGGAAAGATATAATATAGAGTTCTCCTTTCACCAAAGAAAACATCCATGGTGGTGAATGAAAGTACATTTTAATCCCACATGTTTCCTTTATTTCAAATAATTACACAGTTCTCTTAATCTTAGGAGGGAAAGACACCCCCTCACATACACACACAATCCTGGATCCATTGTAGACTAAAGCGCATTTGGAATATTTTTAAATTGGCTACATATCTGTCTCTTTTTTTTTTTTTTTTTAAAGTGGTTATAAAATCCGCACAGGAAAATGAATATGAACTCGGCCATGTCAAAATTCACGAGAAGAGCAAGAGCCAAGGTATCCCAAAAATTCGCTAGGGATTAAATACATACACTTAAAGACCTACACACAAAGACAGTCTGATATGAGAGCTACAGACAATGTTAAAACGCATTCTGAATTACATAACAGTACATAAAACACATACCTATGAAAAAGTATAGGCTATCATAAAATTAAAATGTATCAGAAAGTGGGTTACTAGTCTTAATCGAATACAATTAGGAAGTTAATTAGTGTCATACACACAGTATTTAGGCTGACTTTGTTATATTGGAACCTTTGTGTCTCAAACTTACATAAACATGAAAATAGGCTCTTTTCTATTATTTCATGTCTAATCTTTGGTTACAGCTCCATTTAACCTTACACACATAATCTTGGCTAATATTACCCAGGCCTACAGTTAATTAATTTATCAAGTTAATTATTCTAATTTGGCCGTGCAAAATGTTCTATTTTACAGACTATAATACTAAGAGAATGCTATTGATTATCGGGAACCGAGGCTCAATATCATCCACATGATTTAGTTCAGATGGTCTTTTAAGGAGGATTTTTCCCTTTGGGACGTATAGGTTCACACTCAAAGACAGGGGCAGGTTTGATTGGTCACAGGGGTGTGATGACCACACTTTATGATATCAGTCTAATTTATACCTTCATCCCAGCATCAATATCAGCTTTAGATATATTTAGGCTACATTTCTGATAGGACAGGGAGTCATTTCTCAGTCAGCACGTGCTATAGGTCAACCTAATGAGGCCAGGATGGGACGATTTCACTATTCAGCATTGATTGTGAGTGAGGTCTCACATTAAAAGCTGTGGCCTGTTCGTCCAAAAAAAAATCGCTTACGCATGAGAGCAAGTCTAACATCCGGCTCGTGACCTCAGCGTTGGTGAGTGACACCGATTCATCTGACGTGACCAAGTTATAAACACAAACAACTAGTTGATCATCTAGTCGTTCAAGCTTGTTAGTGATTTAACTGTATGACGATATGTCTGTTTTCCATCGCATATTGCATTGTGTGTTGTTGAACACATGTTGCAATGGAGATGACACGGGTCCACTGAAGTTCTTGTCACTGCATGGATCAGTGCAAGGGCGAGAAAAAGTTTGTTCATATGTGAAGAGATCTAAACTACATGAAAAAAACAAAGTGCAGAATTTCACTTGGAGCACTGTTCTAGAGGATATGAGAGCTGCAGGAGTGTTTCCTCACCTAGGCGGTTGTAGACAAAAAAATCAGTGGTATAATGAACAAAGAGGTTAATGCGATCCCTCCGGAACAGAAATATTTTTATGTGCGAGACAGCATCCAGATCAAATCTGATGGCTGGTTTTATTGTGAAAATACTGCGCTATCTGTTTAGGTCAAAACATTACATTTTAAGTGAAATCCATTTTTATGATCTGATTTACACTGAAGCGTTTACAATCTCATTCAGTCTGCGGACCACCTTAAAAGCGTTTGTCCCGCCCTCGATGCTTTCTTTGGCCGCTCTGATTGGCTGAGGCCTCATGCATGGAAGTGGCTGCAGAAATGCAAAACTTGTTGCTGGCTCCTCTGGACGCGTTGATCTCACACAGCGCCAAGCGGCAGAGCGGAGTGTGAGTGTATCAGTGAATCGCTCAGACCACAGCAGACAAGACTCGGTAAAAAAAAAAAAAACGGAGGGACGCACATTAGGAACGAGACGCGCTGGAAAGGACTTAACGGCACGGCGCTTCGCTGCAAGGCGCATGACCGGCAGCGGGTGAAGGATGCTGTCAAGCCGCTCCGTCGTGGTGGAGTGCGGGTAGTGCACGCCGCGCTGCTCCGGGTCCAGGTCGCGTAAACGGACGCTCCGGTTCTCCGGCGCCTGGGTTGGAGAACCGTGTTTGTGGACTTTTCCGTCACACTGGACTTCTAGCCTCACGCCTGCTCAGCAATTGCCGAGATTTTTGAGGGAGATCGGTGGGCAGTATATTTATTTAAAGAAAGATTTTTCCCCTCATAGCCACAGAGGTAGTTTGAACTACACGGCTCCAGTTGGACTTTTCCCCGTGTTTCCAGTATGGGACCCTCTACAAAAAGTCGCTCTGGGACATTTGACATTGGACTGGAATAATGAATTAGCTGACAGAAATTGTCATATTCCCTGTTCGATCGCTCCAGTTCTTCATCGCTCTCCTTTTTATTTTGTTAGCGAGATGTTTCGTGTCGTGTTCGCCCTGAAGAAATGCGCACAGAAAAACTTTGGAATATGATAAATCGCTCCTGCAGCAAGTTAAATAGCACTGTTTTGTATTTGTCTGCTTAATCAAAGACAAAAAGAAGAGCAGTCAAGTGCACGCGCAAAATCCAGGACAGGGACACAGTTTACGTGCGTATTTGGACACAGTCTGTCCCCTCTCTCCTCCGCGTCCTTGGAGAAGTTGAAAAACAAAAACAATTGATCCACAACAATGAGAACTTATCCGGTGAGTTTCAGCATTTAAAGTAGATAGAGTAGTTTGTTCAGCAGTGTTATACAAACATTTGAATCGTTTCTTCTATATCCTTTTTTTTTTCTTTTTGCTTTTGGGGACAGACGGAAAAACTGGCAAACTGGCCGTCATGTGGGATTGATTGCAAGGGAGTATGTTTGGGCTGGAGCAGTTTGGTTCTCAGATTAATAGCAGAAACCCTGGCCAGTCAGAGAGAAACATAAACCAACCTAGATTGAACATGGGCTCCCATTATAAAAGCCCAGGTTTTCATGCTGGAGGCCCGCCGGGAGCCGTGGAACCCGGCATGGGCCCTCTGAGCGAGCCGCAAATGCTCGGGCTCAATATGAACATGAACGGAGAGCAGTACGGGGGCTTTCACCCGCGGGGCCACTCGGACATGCATGCGGGCGGCGGACTTCAGCAGCAGCAGCAGCAGCAGCAAGGACCCATGCATGGATTTTTTAACAACCAGCAACCTCATCAAGGACACCCCCACGGCCATCAACCTCACCCCCACCAACATCACCCTCATTTCAGTGGGAATTTTGGCGGCCCGGAGCCAGGGTCATCATGCCTGCATGGTGGCAGGCTAATGGGCTACAACAACAATGGCATGGGACCACAGCAGGGCTTTGGAGAAGGATTTGATCCTCTCGCTGAGGGACAGGCAGGGGATGGCTTTCCCCAGCAGCAGCAGCAGCAGCAGCAGCGGCCTGGTAATATGCCTGACTTTCAACATCACGGGCCTCCCAGTGGCAGCCACGCTGTCCCTGCCCCCTGTCTACCCCTTGACCAGTCGCCTAACAGAGCAGCATCCTTCCATGGCCTCCCTTCCTCTTCATCCTCCTCCTCTGAGTCTCATGGGCTGGAGCCTCGGCGGATGCCAAACCAGGGAGCTGTAGAGGGATTAGAGTATAACTTCCCCAGTGAGCCACCATCTGGACATTTTGATGTACCTGTTTTTTCCCCATCAGAATCAGAATCTCAGTTACCACATTTTGGGCCAGGAAGGCCAGTTCCCAGCGGAAATTTCCCAGGGAACCCTGGCATGCCACGGACACCAGGTATGCAGGGCATCTCTAAGGGACACCAGCCACCACCACAGCCCCAGCAGCCTCAGCATGGAGTGTTTTTTGAGCGGTTTGGAAATGGCCGGAAGGTGCCCGTGGGAATGGAGCCGGGGGTCAATGCGAGGCATCCTCTCATGCAGCAGCAACAACAGGCTAGCTTGATAGCCAGACAGAACTCATGCCCCCCTGGCCTCCCCCGACCCCCTCAGGCTGAGCCCGGCTCTACTAACCCTAACATTCTGGACGGAGGGGTCATGATGCCTGGCCAACACAACCAGTTTGAATATCCCATTCACAGACTGGAAAATAGGGGTCTGCACCCCTATGGGGACCCCATGTTTAATATGCAACAGCCAGCTCCTCCTCCCTCTCAACAGCCTCCAAATCAGAGGCTGCAACACTTTGACTCTCCTTATATGAACATGGCGAAAAGGCCTAGATTTGACTTTCCTAATGCGCATGGGGGTGAAGGCTGGTGTGGTGGTATGGATAACCACCTCTCTCCCTCTGCCTACCCCGGCCTGCCTGGAGAGTTCACCCCACCTGTGAGTGAAGGTTTCCCACCAGGTCCCCTGCAGCATCCGGGGCCTGAGCAGCAGTCTCTGCAGCAGCGCCAGAACGCAGCAATGATGATAAAACAGATGGCCTCTCGCAACCAGCAGCAGAGGATGAGACAGCCCAGTCTGCAGCAGCTGGGTCACCACGGCGATGTACCTCCTGGCCCAATGGCTCACGGAGGCCCAGTCGGGAGCATGCCTCAGCCCAACTTTGACAGGGAGAATGGTGGCAGGATGCCCAACATTGATGGACAAAATCCTCATGTCACTCAGGAGAACTCCTGGTTCCAGGGGTCCCACCCACCGGGGGAGATGATGTCACGGCGTATGGGTGGAGCGGGTAATGAATCGGGGCCCCATGACATGGGGCTACAGCAGAACGGGGCTGGGATGATGTTTAGGCCAGGCATGGGCATGCAGGAGCCCATGAGAATACCAGGAGATGGGCATGTGCAGGCTCTCCACTCTCCGGGCATGCACTCACAGTTCAGCGGCAACATGGGCAACCTCTCACAAATGCAGTCTCCAGGAGCAGGAACAGGGCATCCGAATGCACCAGCAGAGAGGCGGCCAGCTGACTTCCCTGCACCTCCAATGGGAGCACAGCCAACGTTTCCCTATGGAGGGGCTAACCGTCAGGGGCCAGCCCACAGCGCTCCCCAGGGGGTGAGCACCTCACCGGGGAGCTACCCTCCTCAGTCTGAGTTCCCCTCAGGCCAGCGGTCGTCTGTTAGTAAGCTTGGAGCTCTGTCCCTCGGGAACTTCAGCAAAACCAGCACTAAAGACAGTGTTTTCGGCCAGAGCTGTCTGGCGGCCCTTTCCACGGCCTGCCAGAACATGATCGCTAGCCTAGGGGCCCCCAATCTTAACGTAACATTCAACAAGAAGAACCAAAATGAGGGCAAGCGAAAACTGAGTCAGACAGAGCAGGACATTAATAGCAGCACATCTAATGGGACTGGCAGTGCTGGTCCTGAATATTTTCAGAGCAGCACTTCCCAGAACAGCCAGATGCCTGGCACCGGGAATAGCAACTCTAAGCCTGCAAGTCAAAGCCAGACGGTGCAGGGGGAAGCCAGTGCCCTCTCCCCAAATTACAACATGGACGCTACCCCATGCAGTGAGGGGAAGGCAACAACAGGGAGTGGGAGAGGGAGAGGGAGGAGAAAAAGAGACAGTGGACATGTGAGCCCTGGAATTTTTTTTTCCTCTGACAATGGTAACCCTGTTGTAAGTCCAGGCCAGCAGACCCCCTCGGCTGGCGTTGGGGAGAGGGGTGGGGGCACGCCCCATGAGAAACACCTCCAATCACCCTCTTGGGGAAAAGGAGGCGACCTAATGTTGGGGGACCAGGCTGACCTGATGTCTTCTTTGGACAGTGGCATTCAAAGTGTCGCCAAGTCTGACAGTAGCTCACCACGAGTGGACTTTCCAGACGATGTCAGCACCCACTATGGCAACGAGGATGAGGTGTCCTCCAGCTCAGATGCAGGAGGGGCCTCGGCCACCAAGCCTAACCGCAGCCCTATGATCACAGGCTCACCCAAAATGCAGAGGAGTGACCATGGGCTGATAAATGGACAGAAGCCCCTAGGCATGGGCATTAACAATCATACTACCTCGACACCAGACAGCTACGGACTGAATGCTGGTGGGGGCACAGGGGCCAGTGGGGTGAGCCACCCGGGCACTCCTGGGGTGGAGCAGGTACGCACCCCATCCAGCACCTCCGGCCAGGAAGAAATCCATCCTCTGGAGATTCTGCAGGCCCAGATCCAGCTACAGCGGCAACAATTCAGCATCTCTGAGGACCAGCCCCTGGCCATGAAGAATGGCAAAAAGAATGGCGACTGTCCCTCTCAGAACGGAGACAATGAGCTGGCGAGCTGCAGCCCGGATGCTGGGAAGGGCTCAATGGGCACTATTGACCTTGACACCCTCATGGCAGAGCAGCACGCCACCTGGTACGTGCCCAGTGACAAGGCCATGATGGATGGGTCAGAGGATGACAAGGCCATGGGACCCTGGGAAAAAAATAAGAGCCAAAACAACAGTAAAGAAGGTAATCAACTAGTCTTCATTCTTTTGGTTCTATTCTAACTACTTCTCCTTTTCTCTTTCTCTCACCCTCTGTGTCTAAAACTCACTCTCACACACATGCAACTCAGGCCACACCAACTGATCAGTGTTGCTCATAAAATTAGTATATTTTCATTCTTAAAATGCTATTTACTTTATCTGAAATGCAGCGTGACACCACAGACATAATATGTGAAATGCTTTGGTAACGCTGTTAATAAAGGACCTTATGTCCACATCGTGCGGCCAGACAGCAGCCGCCTCTGTTAACTAGTCTCTTTGAATTTACAGATTTAGGATATAGGAAGATAATTAATTTAATTCAAGGCTTTATAAAGAAAAAAAAAGACTGATGTGGTATTTTTTTCTTGTTAAATTGAGTCCGTATTGAGGAATGTAAAGAATGATTATCAGAGCGGTTTTAAATGCCATCTGACTGAACACAGGAAACCTTGTACCTTCTCTACAACGTATTTTTTTTTTATAGGTTTCTTCATTGTAGAGGCACTTCAAAAGAACAGCTCAAGAAAAGTAAACATTTCCTGTGGTTCTTTATCTCGGTTTTCAGGGTGAACAACTACATTGAGAAGATTAATAGCTTTTTGAGGATATGCGTTTGCGCAGCGGGGTTTCCCTCGCCTTGTTACGTGTTTGTTTTTGTTATTACCATGGGATAATAGTGGATTGATTTTAGATTGGCAGGGCAGGATTTCAAGGATTAAATATCATGGTGACATTATACAGCCTTTCACTTTTCGATTTATTTTCCGTAGGAAACTGTGGATTTAGAAAACTTTTAATACCATTTAGTATTTAGTTTAAAAACGTGGTTTGTCTATTGTTAAACCATTTGTGAATATTTATTGTCACTTTGAAATGATTTATTATTTTTATTATCTAACCCAGTCAGAGTAAAATATTTTTGGAATTAAAGTGAGAGTCTCTTACAAACACAGGTTTAATAAAGGGAAATGTTAAATCTTCTGGCCTAAAGGCATAGAGGCAGATTTTCTTCTAGACGGAGATATTGTTACGATCTGCAAATGTAGCTTCATACAAGCAGTTTTATCTCAATGTTTTTATGGTGGCTGTAAATCAAAATGCAGATAACTAATTTTACTGTTACGTTGTTCAGCTGCGGATTAGTATTTCCTTATATTACTTCTCCTTCTTCCTCTTCTTCTTCTTCTTCTTCTTCTAATAATAATAATAATAATAATAATAATAATAATAATAATAACAATAATAATAAATAATGATAATAATGTTTTATTGATTTTATTATTGCTTAATTATTATATTATTTTAATAATATTTTGTATGCAGCAATTATAATAGAAAACGTTTGCATTATTATGCATTATAATTGCAGAATCAGTGTAGTCGTAGGCTGTGTATCAGAATATGTCAGTTTTATACTTATTTTGTTGTTTTTTCCCTCTTGTGTTTCTTGTCTTCTTTTTTCCGTTGGCTTTATTCAAATCATTTCAAACCAAACCAAGACAGAGATGTCTGACGTGGCTACATAAAAAAATTTGAAAGAGCGACCCACTGTAAAGGTTAAGATACCAAAAGGCCTGTGGATGTACGGATGTATAATAATGTTTGTGTATATATATATATATATATATTTGTGGAAAGCGCTCAGCGCGTTTGGAGCGCCTCTTTGTTCTGATCAGTGCGGGTGCAGAGAGGGGCGGGGGCGCGCACCGCGCCGAGTCTGGACTCCAGGCGCATTGTTTATATGAGACTGAGCACAGGGTGTCGGGTGGTAGCACTAAAAACTATGACATGAAGGAACACTGTGAAAGACCAGTTCGGCTGATGCGGTAAGCTAATATCACTGGTCACTTTCATTATAAATGAAGAGAAAAATAACAGGCAATGAAGATATTAATTTGAGGCAGAATGATCAAACTATAGCACATCCCTCCATCTAGCTATTTGATTTCTATTTGATTGCTCTCAACTGGTCCTTTCAGCTAATTTAACTGACAAAATGACAAGGTCATTGAACATTGTGGCTTTATTTGTCCCCATGATTTCCTCCGTTGTCATTTTCAAAGGAGGTAACTGGGTTCTGTTAATTTATAAAAATAAGAATCTGAACAAAACAACAAAAAACAGAGCTATGGGGGTTTGTTGAAAAGAAAAAAACTCCCTGATGCCAGGGAGTGATGATCATTACTTTTGATAATGATTAATGAGTATTCTTTTGAGTAGGAAACCCAGCACTGATAAGCAGTCAGCCACACTCACCCTGTTGCATTCACTGTCTTCATTTCTCTGGGGCTGATAGCACATTTAACATCACAAATTCACAAAAACAGCAGAATAGTCTATTTTCTGCTCTCTTTTCCCCTCCTCTCCTCACTCCTTCTCTCTCCTCTCCTCTCCTCTCCTCTCCTCTCCTCTCCCTCCCTGCATGGACAGCAGGCATGCAGCTCTGGAGCGATCGATAGCTAGTTAGCACAAATCACGGCTCCTGACAGTTTCTCATTTGAGTGCTTCAGACAGCAAAGATGAAAAAAGGGTGGAGGTGTATTTGGGAGGGGAGGGGGATTTTGAGATTGAATTTGATGCTTAGGCTACACAGAAGGGAGCAAAATAACATAATAATTTAAGATACCCTAAGTCATAGTAGTTCCATAAGAGCCAACATCCCACTGGCTTTTCACACTGCAAAAAATATCCACCTTAACCAGTTAGTCTGGTTTTCAGTCTTCAATCTTCTGCCATTGGGGAGCTCGTGTCAGTGAGACTAATTTAAAATAAACCGGGCCAATCCATTAGTCCATTAACACTAAATGTAACTTGGTCAAGAAAATTCTTTAAAGACGATCATTTACATTAGGTTAAAGTGAGTGTTTGTAATTCCAACGACAGTGGAAATAATTTTCCCTCTTATGAGTTTAAATAACATTTTAATCATCAGCACAATATGACATAACCTGTTAAGATAGTTTTTACTGTTTAACTGTTACAGAAGTCTAAAGTACAGGCTGAGAAGTGAAGTGTGTCTTCTGAGGTGGCAGATATATTTTTTTTCTCCCAGGTGAAACGGTTTTCTACCCGTCAACTTCCAAAAACTGCTCTTGTCACAACCATTTCGTTTACATATACAGCAGATGCCTTATTTTGCTCTCTCGGGAGTGTTGTTGAATTATGCATAAATTATTTTCATTCTTACACAATAAGCACTATATCAGGTTACTCAGTTCAATATTGATATACAGTAATTAATACATAGCTTTACACACAAATATCTTATTTTAAATAGCTAATTAAAAATGAAAATGTAATTGAAAATGCATTTACATTTAATTTATTCAGATTATAAGCAGAACTGAGTGCTTTCTCGTTTTAATTTACAGACAAATTGAATTTAGTTGTCAGGCATTCAACTTTATGTGCGGTTATCAGATTCTGGTTAGAGTTGAGGTTTTGTCCTGAGAAATTAATACATGATACGTATTTGTTTTGTTTGTTTTTTTTTTCCTTTTTTTTAAAAATTTATTTCTTTTTTAGTTTAGTCAGTGTTTCAATCGCTCAGTGCAGCTCCACCAAAAAACACTGTGAAACTTCAGAGGGACCCCAGATCATTTAGGTGCCAGGTGTGTTTGTATTAGCGCTGGAGAGCAGGAGAAACTACAGGAGCCACTAATCTTGCTATGATATGAGTAAGACACAGGGCAGAAATTCAACACTGTGTTTGCTGCAACCTTCCTCTGAGTGTTTGAACGTGCGGACAAATAAAAGTTAAACTGTGCCTATTTCTGGGGGAGCTGCACTCACAAAGTGCTGCTGCGTGTTCACCCAGTGCATCCCAGCTCACCCTCTCTGTGGTCCCTGTGTGCCTGTTTAAAGTGAGGCGTGCTGCACTAATGGCCCCCTTTGGACCCCATATTTGGCCTGCTCGCTCTGTGACAGCACGTAGCTTAAGTTTTTCCACTAAGGCGCAGTTATACCTGCCGCTGTAAGCTCACAGCCTGCAGATCTTTGAGTGCCACACGACGTCTTCCGCTCACAAAGAGTTGAGTTGCACACGAGCAACTTCACTTGCACGGTGTCAGTTAATATTATTTCCCCTTTTTTTTAAAAATTATTTTACGCTCTTCCTCTTCCGTTCCCTTCTGTATATCTTAGCCAGAAGCTGACCGTTCATTTGGAAACTCATGTATAGTCTTGATAACAGGCCACCAGCAGGCGTAGGAAGTGATTCAGTTATTTTTATTTTTACTTTTCAGTTTTTGCCACATACACTTGAGTGACTTTTTTTCTTTATCAGCACACTTAAAACACTTCACAGTTGACCCCGAGGAATAGTTTCACTCTTCACTCTCAATAATCAGTCCTTAAACAGCTCTAATAATGATCAAATCTCTGTCGCTCTGACTTTGACAGGTTTGAAAAGAAGGAACTTGCATCTTATCACACCTACTAGAAAGCAGTTAAATCCACAGAAAGAGCCGTATTGATATTCCACCATGGAGAACAATCCTGTGAGACTACCTGGCTTTGACATTTCAGAGCGACAACAACCCCACAAATCACACCAGTAATTTCTATTTCCTTTTCCTAAAAAAAGAAGAAAGTGACTGGCACATGCTTGAATGTGAGAAAAAAAAAAAAAAAAACAGCTCGAGGCCGTCTGTGTTCTTTACCTGTCATTGCAAGGTGTTTCATATTGACTTTTTCAACAACACACATCTACCAAGCCTCCCACGTACTCCTGGACTGCAGTAATGATAATCATTATGATAATCATAGCAATTAGCCTTGGTAATATTGTTTCCAAAAGTCATAATTCATCCTCACGCAACTCCTGTAAGTTGACTTGGTTATTGACAGGTTCATCGGGGCTACAAACAACTGCTAGTTTATGTCTGTACGTGCTGATTTCAGCAACATGAATATATAACAGTGACAAAGCGACGTCTTAGAGACTCCCCATAATGGGGATGGAGAAAATAACACTATTTC